TGTGTATGCAAATGTGAAGTTGTCCATATTTATTCTTACAGGTATATTTTAATTATGTAAGTATATGTAAATGGTCTTGAGCTTGTATAACTCTTTTCTAGTCTTCTGAGTACACAGCCATTACACCACAGCTCACACCTACCCATTCACATCCATTCACAAACTGAAGGCAGAGGCCGCTTTGTAAAGTGTCCATCAGTATTAATTCATCCCATTCAAACACATCCATACACCACCGAAGAAGTGGGAGCAAATTGGAGTTTAGCGTCTTGCCCAAGGACACATCAGACATGTGGCTGCAGGAGATGGGATTCGAACCCCTGACCTATCACTGAGCCACTGAGCCAGGAAGAACAGCTGTGCTCTAGGGAGCAGTTAATGCGGATCCTACAAATAAACAAATGTGAATACTTGTACATACTGTCCCATAAATACCTCATCTCTAGTCTGCAATTAAATGTTTATCCATTTTTATTCATTCATAGTCACTATATTCACTTCATCATATCAACATCCAACTCATACAACTGTTTCTTAATTTACCACACGTGAAGGTGTTCATACAAAGTATATATATATATATATATATATATATATATATATATATATATATATATTGTTATTGTCAATACTATATTTCCCATTGAATTTTATTATTGTCAGCACATTTTTATTTGTTCATTTGTGTTATCTATTTGATTACCTTTGCCCTCTCATGTGAGCTGTTGTGACAACCAAATAAATATATTATATTATCTCATTAGATGTATTTATTTGTTTTATTTTCTATTTGTTTGACTATTTTGCTTTGTTTTATATCAAAAGCACGTTGGAACTTTTATTTTGAAAGGTTCTACATAAATAATGTTATAAATATTAGTATAATTATTGTTTGAATGTGAACAACAGGGAGAGGAAACATTACATTTCTGAAATTGATGGTAATATATTGCAGAGGTCACATAACTATAGAATGTGTTTGTAATAGCCGATGAAGGTAATAAAGACAAAATATACTGAATTCAGATCAAGCAGCAACCTCTGGTTTTGAAAAATACAGGAAGTGCAAAATCCTGCAGTTTGTCGAGTGTCTGCTTGAGGCTGGCTCCAGGAACACAGGAAGTCACAAACACACAACAGCCAAAAAAATCAGTTTTTACAGCAGAAATGAACATGTCTACAGCCTGGTACTAAAAAAACAAATAGGTGTGATTAGTTATTGTCCTCATGGGCACACACTGTACAGGGGATGATTTTTTTTAAACAGCTCCGTTTTGATTTTAATAAACAATACGTGTTATCCATAGTTAGGTGTGTAGCTGACATAATTGACAGGTGGGCGTGATGAAACAGTTTGTCAAGAGGCTTTAAACCCGCTTCAGCTCTCAGCCTGTCGTTAGGTTGACTGAAAGTTAGGAAGAGACAGGATTTCTAGAATGGCATCTGCTGCCGATGAGCCTCCTGAAGTAAAAGGTGGCTGACGTTACTCAGGCTTCGTCCAATTATATTTACAGTCTATGATTCAGATATCAAACTCGAATCTATTTCAATTAAAACTGATAATATACACATTTGTAATTACATTATACTTTCCGATCTCTTTGACTCTATCACAAACGTAAGTTCTCATGATCTGATAAAATATTCCTTTCATTGGGTTTATTCCCGTTTCTTATCCTATCAGATGATCTAACTGCTCCATTACTAGAACCAATAGGAGGCCAGCTCCTTGTGAGAGATAAATCCCTTCTGCAAATTGAGAGCAGCTTTCGAGGACACTGATCTGGTAGCAATTACTTGTGCCTGTGCAGAGCATTAAAAAAAAAAAAAAAAAAAAAAAAACTCTGACATATTACACAGTGCATGTTGGACAGAGCTCATGTAATATATTCAATAACATTTCAGATATCATCCATGAGTATCACACGTCGGGCCTGATCTGTGCCACAGTAATTGGACCTATGCATAGGGATTTGGGATATTTACATTTACATTCTGCAAGAAAGTGAGCAGAAAGATGTGGAGGTTTTTTACACACTGTTTGGACCTGTCAAGACATCGGGGAAGTTTTAACCGTGCTTGATGTGACTAAACATTCTCCAGTCGTCTGCTGTGGTGACAGGAAAAACAAACTAACAGTTAACCACAGCGGGAGTTAACAGCATTTCAGCTCCACTTGTGAAAGTGCAGGGGGAGACATTTTTACCCATTATTACACTGATGGATGGTGATAATGTGAGTATACTGGCCAGGCAAACTGTAATAACACAGACTAAGAAGTGAGAGATCCATGCTTCTAAAAAAAAACAAAAAAACACACACAATATTCCCCATGCTCATAGCAGCAATTGTGTAGAGTTGGCTGGCAGGTCTTACCATTCAGCATGCTGTCAAAGAGTCAGTGTGCGACTAAACACACAGCCGGTGTGATTATCACCAGACGAAGACTCATGCCAGGTTAGGGAAACGTTTGACAGAAAGCGTGCTGTTAGTGCCAGTGAATTACGAGAAGGTGTGAAGCAAAAACACAACGCTGAGAATTGATTGTTTATATCTTTTTTCCCTGTGCTCCCTCAATCGAGATAATTAGCCAAAAAATGGAAGGCCAAGATGTTAGAGATATGAACCTGAAGGAAAAGAAGACCTCTCTGTAAAATCCAAAACTGTGAAAATGTGGCAAAGTAACACAAACAGGCCTCAGGTTGATATAAACATGTACTGAGCAGACCATGCAGACACCACAAAGTGTAATCCAAGGTTTGCCTCAGGACACTTGAGCTTTAGTCTTTAGACAAAAAGACCTATTTGTTTTATTCACATTTTAGTTATTTGTTGCCCTCAATAGTTTTCGTCTTGTTTAAGTGGACCACAACTCAAAACATTGTGGTCCTGTTTTAGTCATCTAAAAGTCATTACATTCACACCGTGTCTTAACATCATACAAGCTTTATATATCGCGTTACATCGTGCATGATCATACGCTGGCTGTCCGCACTGCATCTATTAAATAAATAACTTTGTGAATTTCAGTATCCCCTTGCAAACAATATGACATCTAGTGCTTTTGTATTGAAGGTGGACAAACTGAAGTGCGGTGCTCTGTATACAGGCTGGTCAATAAACGGCTCGGGTGTTGTCGACACAAGTCGAAGCTCAACATTTTAATCACGGATGTGGATATTATTTATGCACCGATATCTCCCCTTTGTGCAACAAGCTTACAAGCTCTGTTGAGTGAGAAAAGCGAGTGTGAGTGTCTTGTAGAGCCCTCTTCCACGCTCTTTCTTCGTCTACACGAGCGACAGAGGGGGAAAATGGAAACGGGGCAAAACCGGCGTTCAGCATCCCTCACAGGCAGTTTGGACACTCCAATAGGAAACAAGAGAATTAGGCCTATTTTATTGGTATGGACGTTCTACCAAGCCTTAAATCTGTAAATCACATTTCACTTTCTTTAAACTTTTACTTGTGGAAAGTGCAATGAACACATATGTCCAAAACAGAGAAATGAACAATAGGACTTGAACTTGTTTCCAAGTGCAAAAAGGCTGTATTACACTTTTACAACAGCCCCTAACTGTACCTGTGGTGACAGACATTCACTTCTTGGTGCACTCAACTGTATCGTCATCTTTGATGATTTAGAGATGGTAAAAACTGTAAAAGGTCAGACTAACTATGTTCTCTCTATGCACAGTTAACATTTAGTTAACGGGCAAAAAAAATGGAAAATGTCAAGTATTTTACTGATGTTACCCAGGGAGCTTTATGTGGCTTTGTCATTGACATGCATCTGGTAAAAATCATCACCGACAAATAGAAAGTTGTTTGGAGGCAGTGACTATTTGTAACTGTGGTGCAGTTGTTGCAGCTAACTTTTGTTGTCCACCCTAACAGAGCCAACTATTTAGTCTTTATTTGTCATGGCATTATGAACAGAGATTTCACCATGTTTTTTTTCTGGTCAATACGTTTAACAATAACATTGGCCTCTCCATTTGTTCATGAAAAAGACAACGCAAATAAATGCTTATCACCAGCATTTCATGTTAAAGCAGTTTAAAAGGCACAAGAACAGGCAGGATTGAGAATAACTCAAATCTAAACTGGATCATTTGTAGGACATTTTCCTTCATTTTTTGATCCACTGCCTCCTTCCATATTTTTGTGAAATGTCATGTCCTGATGTCCTTCTCCTGAGACTACACCGGACAGCAAACTATGTCAAACAAATGAGGCCCCTCTGTTTCTTAAAGGTGTTAGATGATCTGTCTTTTATGTGATGTTTTAATCTTTACTATTGTGGTATGTTAACCTACTTTCTCCACCTCCTGCTCAAATAGATAACTCATCACTCTACCATGCTGCAGTCATGATCCCAGATCACTAAACTCCTTCTAATCTAATTATATCCATTCCTGTGTCGATATCACAGCAACGGGAATAGAAATCCAATGCTGGGTAATATACTTGTTTTATATGCTAATTAAAATGCAGGCAAACTCCAACAAACTGTCGAACTTGCACAAATACATTAGCAATGATCCAGTACTAAAATATGGTCAACATATTTGTGTAATTCAGACAGTGTTCTGTCTCTTTCTCTCATGGCAGCTTCTGGTAAATAACATGACTGAAGATTTGCATTTTTTTTAAAAAGTTTTGGGACTTTTTAGTTCCATCAATCACAAAAATAACAGCGATGGTATTGTTTTAAAACATGTGGTATTGAAAAGTATCAAAGTATTGTGAATTTTGACAGCGCCATGCAGCTGGACTTTTAAATGCTGCTGTGAAGTGGATCCACTTCAGAGGAGAAGTCAAGAGTCATCAGTAGCAGGATTTATGGGCAGCTCGGGCAGTGAAAAAAAACACAAGTTGTCCTAGTGACCTCTCACAGTCAACAAGTAAACTATGTCACTGTGAAGACGGTACAACACAGCATGAGGCTCCACTAATATTTTCTGAATAATTAAAGGGAAACAAAGCATGGTACTCACTGCTGCTGGATGTGCTGCTGGATGTAATGTGGTCTCACAAGCTGAGGGGCTGGCTTGACGGTGAGTTTCATCTGTGCCATGTTACTGGGTGGAGAGGGGGCAGAGGCGTAACCACTGGGGGGCAATTGTTGAGGTATGGGCCGCTGTGGGACCACATTGTATCCATTAGTGTGACCAGTTGTGTGTCCGTTTGTGTGACCAGTGTTGTGCCCGGTGGTGGGTCCATTCCCGGGCACTGCTGGGAAGGGGTGTGTGGGCACCTTCTGTTCGCATGCCTTCCCATTGGAGCCAGGCTTGCAGACACAGAGCTGAGGCCTGAGGCACATTCCTCCATTCTGGCATTGAGGGATGCAATTGGCTACAAAACAAAACCCAGACAGAGGAGAGAGAAAGAGAGAGAGAGGGAGAAGAAAAAGAAAAGGGGAAAGAGAGACAGATGGAGAATGAAAATGAGGTAAGAGGTCAGATATACTCAAAAAAAGTGAAACAGATGAAAGCATAAAGATAAACTCTACTTGACTTTTCATGACATCAAATGACCACTCGTTCACTTTGCACCTCATTCATTTTAGCATGAATGAAGAGCTTACATCACACACTTTGACAGAAATGCACAATCACATATCATCACAGTTTTAAATGCAAACTTAAACCTGGTGGTTCAAACAAACCCTGCTGCATTTGCCATCTGACTGTTCATTTGGGGTTGGTGTGAAAGCTCTTAATTGAAGTTTTGAGGACCAGACGCCTCAGATTTAGACTGCTTTGGGTGGCAGTAACTCAGTCTGTAAGGACTTGGGTTGGGAAGTCCCTGTGCAGACCAATTCTGGAAATTGGTCTGGTAACGAGTAACACTTCCTGAGCACCATCTCCTGAGCTGTATTGCACCACATATAATGAGCTCCTTGAGTCCAAGTAGAAGCTTTTAAAAAAAATATATATATACAATATTCTAGATTGTTTCCAAATAAAACACTCATGAAACAATCACATTGACCTTTGACCTCCAAAATCGAATCAGTTCATCTATAGGTTACCTGTATTTATGTACAGGACCTCCCACACATTTAAATATTCTAATATTGGGGCGCGCTGGTGGTGCAATGGTTAGGGCGCACATCCCATGTATTGAGACTCTCATCTCGAGCAGTAGGCCCGGGTTCACCTCCATCCGTGGCCCCTTTCCACATGTCATTCCCCGCTCTCTCTCCCTGGTTTCCGACTCTATCCACTGTCCTCTCTCTGCATTAAAGGCACAAAAAAGCCCCAAAAAAAATCTAAAAAAAATAAAAATTCTAATATTAAAAAAAGGAGCCTTATTTCTATCTTTGTTTGATCAGGGTGAGCCAGAGTCTGAAAGTGAGTGTTACAAGCTAAGAGTGTGTGCTTTTGATTTTATGAGGGAGAGAGCTGTTTTCCAATGAGGTGTAAATCATTTCAGGAGGTGGAGCTGAAAACTGACCAGCTAAGGCTCACTTTGACCCATGTTCATAAATGTAGCCTATAAGGGTGGTGGCCGTTCCTATTTACAGCAGAAGAAGGACCTAGCTTATTACCCCATACCAATTTTAGACAATTAGTAGGTTGCTAGGAAGGTCTGGACAGAGTAGGGTGGTTATTCTCCCATTTAAGTTTTTGACTTTCATATTTCTGTATACACTCATCACAGTAAGAAAATAAAAAAGGAGGAGATCAGGGTTGTGAAGCTATGTTACTGTTTGCTAAAGCAGCTGAAGTCCAAAGATGTCGGTAACGGTAAAAGTGTCTAAGAAAGGCTTGAGGAAACATCATGTACTAATCAGACTTAAAGCGGTGCCCCAGCACACAGGACACATCAAGAAGACTAAAGCACACAGTTATAGTTGGAGCGTTTTAATGAGGTGCAGCAGCAAACCGACATTTTGACACAATGCAGAGGTGGTGTCACTGTTTAAATTGCCTGCGCCCAGTTTATAGCTGTTTCTCGTTGGATGGACAGGTTCTGGGCAATGCTTTTGTCTAACATATGCAAATCCTTCAAGCCAAGCTCATGTTTACAACTTATTTGTAAAAAAAAGTTGCAGTGAACATAAAACAGACTGCAGCCAAAATGAAAGTGAATCCAACAACACATGTCAAAGCAACATAAATGTCAGCACAAATCTTACAGTTGTATGTTCACAGACACACACAAGGTCATCTCTGAATATTTTTCAACTTTTGACACAAGGTCACCCTGCTTTAACGAATTTACCTCTGGGATTAATAGTTTATTTCTGATTCTGATTCATGTTTCACCTATAGGTCCTGTTGTAATAATTTGTGCTGTACAGGACTAAACGTATCTGTGATAACCTACAGCCATTACTGCTTTTTAATTTCTCCCTGTAGCATCTATACACTTAGATCTCATTACATTCTGTCTCCAAGAATCACCACATTGCACATGTGTGACAGGTCAGTAATACAGGTGTCTGTGATGTACATAAAACAAATAAAGTAATGGTACACCTTTCCTAAAATGTTAAATGAAGCTGATTTGAGCCACACAAGATGGGTGTGAGGTAGGCAGCATGAAAGCAGAATAACTTGGGTAACAACAGAAATGAACAGCCACGGCCTATCTGAGCTCCAGTGGCTCTTATAATACAAGAGTTCATTCTACAAAGACGTCAAATGTGAACATACCTGCATGCCAATTAAGAGTGAGATTTCTGTTTTCAGAAAAACTTTATTCAAGTGTGTCAGACACAAATGTAAGGAGGAGGAATTGAGTAGCACGACGAGTAGCATAAGACAGCCACGACCTGAAATCACCTGCTAAAAAGCATACACTATTATAGTTACACTAATGAGAGGAAGGGATCCCAGTGGAAACATATTACTGTACAGACATGTTGGTGTTAAAATGTTAGCATTTTTCCATTGATAAAGTGTTGGCACACGTTTATCTCCAATGAGTCGCCACATTTTTTTCAATACATAAAGATGCGTGAAAAAGCAAACCCCAGTGACTCATACAACCCAAGGTGATTTTGCAAAGCAACACAAATACATCAGTGCTTAAGAATTCATATTCACAACGGATTTGGTCTTTGGCCTTCAAATACTGCTACAAATGAAATGTGTTTTTTGTTGATGTGCTGGTGGTTTAATCACTTTCAGTCTGTGAGGTTTAAAACTCAAACTGGTTTACAGATAGAGGTACTACAGCAACACTCCCTTAGCCACTTTCAAACGAGAAAGTGTGTGTGTCAGTGTGTGTGGGCATGTGTTTTAAAGCCAGCAGGGGATATGACTCAGAAAGAGGCCGGTCCCCCTCGCTCTCCCCAGGGTCCCATGTGGGTGTGTCTCCTCCTCTCTAAGCTTGTTAGTCTAATTAGCGGCTTTGAGATTTTGTGAAAATGATTAATGAAGGGAAAACCAAATGCCTGATGAAAGACATCTGCTGGCACAAGGAAAACAGTTTTTTACTTTTGCCATGCCACCCCTCTGCCTCCCCTCCCACTTCATCTTCCCCAAACCTATAGGAAACACCAAACATGTCCAGATTTCTCTGGAAAATCACAAGGACTCTTTTTCTTTACACAAATTAGAACTTGTCCAACCTGTCCACAACCCACATGACGGATAGGATGCAGTGTGATGGATTAATCACGGTAGAGACTATACTCTCTCTGTCTGCTTTGAGAAAATCATTTGTTGGATCATTTGTTCCAAAAAGTAAATCCCATATTTCCAACCTTTTTCGTGAGGACAACTTGCTACTGTGTAGCCATAGCCCTTAGCTAGTCATGCTAGCTAACCTTGCAATGTCCACTAAATCAATACCAATTAGTCTGAGGGTAGCTGATGGCTAGTTGGGGTTTCATCTATAGATTGTATAAAAAAGTACAGCACAAGAGCATGAGATAAGTGAAACCTAAAGATTTAGAGCTCCCCCTGCTGACTGGCTGCAGATTGGTCATAAACCTCGCCTCCTCCATGTTAACAGATGGTGCATTGGGCAAACTTTAAAATCAAACTACTCGTCAAATAAATGTCATGAGAAGGTTAGTTTTCATTAGTAATTTGATGTGAAAGACAGAAGATTTACAGCTCTGTTGACTAGCAGAGTAGAGGAGAGGAGGCATAAGAGCACTAACACAACTGAACTTTACATAACCGTTAGTGTCAAACCAAAACAAGAATCTGTTCCGCTGTGTACTGTACTGATCTGAGGGATCTTTGACTGGTTTGGTTTATCAGTAAGTTTATTGCTGGCTTTGGTTAGCGCAAGAGTCTAGCCATCATTTTGGCTCCAAATTAGGGAATTGCACCCTCACTGTAGCCCCAGCTAGTTGGCCTTCTGTTCTTGCTCTACTGTCTGGATGTAAAGTAACAGCAGTGTTTCCCCTACCATTATATTAGGGGGGCGGCCCGCCCCCCTAATATAATGGTGTGAATTTGTGGCCAATATTTTCATGGCCATATCTGACTAATCAAATGTACATAGTTAGCACTTTAAGCAAAGTCTGTCATGGGTCACCAATTAATTAACTGAACAAAAAAACAGAACATTTGAAATGTTTTTATACATTTAATGCTTAAGTATCAAGGAAAAAGTAGCATCAAAATGCTACATTTTCTAGGACATTTGCAGCCCAATATATACTTTGAAAAAAACCTGAGTTCAAATGTTTTTTGTTTCACAATCTCTTATTGACTGAGTTACACCCTGAGTTATTACCTCAAAGATGACATCATTGCTTTCCTACCCCCTAGAGCTAAGTTATTTGTTTAAGTTTGAAGTTACCCCACTGTTAGTTTTCCATTTTGGACTTTTTTGCTTTCTTTTCCGAGTAGCGTAAATAGTTTTCATTGCCCCTCCACCCCTCTCTGGCCTGGAGCTCAGGCTGCCATCTGTTCTGTGAATAGTTTTCTCTCTTCCTCTCCCTCACACTGAGGTCAGCTACATAACAGCGATGTTCTCTGAAGGGGGTGACGGACTAAGTGTTAGTAATTTACTTGTTAGCTGGGGACAGGAAAAAGATCAGTCATGCTGATGTCCTTGCTCTTTTGATCAGACCACGCTGGATATGGGGCTCAGGGAACTCCTCCACACCCAGACCCGAGGTCTGTAAAGGAGCCTCCAAGAGTTAAAAATATTTTGTGTGTGTGTGTGTGTCAGAGTCAGACTGTGGTAGAGATGCAGAGTGAGAGGCAATAACAGGGAGGCATAATGATTTTCTTTGTCCCACTGCCTTGTTGCAAGACCTTAAAATGTCTAAGTGGAGGAGAGAAAATTGCCAGTGCTTTATGGGTAACTGCTACAGCCTGTTTAACCTTGCATGTGGCTGGGACAGATGTTCTCTGAATTCAGAAGTAGGTAGCGGTGAA